TTGGAGGCATTAAGAGCTTCAAAATTGGTTGTTCATGGTTGTTGGAGTATTGATGACAATGGCAATCTTGTAATTACTTGAAGATGATGAGGGTGAGAGAGTAAATATGTTATTTTCGAAAAAAAAAAAAATTGATGGCATTTTCGTGAATTATATGAACTTGTGGGGTGAATTGGGCAAAATAAAGTTCCAAAAAAAAGGAGGTTAGTTTTGTGGTTGACTTCAAGTTTCAGGTCAATTCTGCAAAAAGCCCATATCTTTTAATATATTTTTCAGTAAAAAATATAAATATTTCTTGTTTTAATATTAATTTTAAATAATAAAATTTACTTTTAAATATTATTACAATTAGTTTTAATTCATTTGGATTTATTAAATAAGAAATACCATTACTATAATATTTATAAATACATTATTCACATTCATAATTAAATTACTACAATAAATAATATATATATATATAATAACTTAATTAAAATTATTTTATAAGCTATAAATTAAAAGAATTACATATTCATGACAATATATATTCATAGAGTTTACAACATACTTCAATTTATTAATGCAAAATATTAAAATATATATTAAAAGAATAAAAATTTATATTTAATATAATATCTAAATTACTATATTAAAATGTAATTTAGTATATTTTATTTAATAAAAACAATATTATTTTTGTTGATTTTATTATACAGTATATTGAATTATATATTATGATTTAAAATTACAATTTATTACAATTTATTTTATAAATATGTAAACATTTATAAGTATGAGAGCATCTGAACACTCTATAATTAATTTATATTATAATAAATATTTATGTAGTCAATCTATAGACTAAAACTGTAATATAAAGTTTATAAGACAATATAAATGTATGAAATATAATATGGAATATGGTTAGAGTAATTAATGGGAAGAGAGAGCATAAATGAAAGATTGAATGTACAAATGGAATATGGTTAGAGTAATATTGTACTTATATCATCATACAAATCATATTAGTATATTTATGCAAATACGAAAAGGACAATATTTTTTATACAAATTCCAAAGCATTCTACGAAACAAATGTTACCAATCTATACTACTAAACTGGGTTTGATATATATTTGAATTATGTAATCTATACTGTAGTAACCAAATGTTATAAATCATATGATATCAAATGTAGAAAATAATATCATATCATACAAATCATATGATATCATATCATACAAATATTTATATTTTCTACATTTGATGTATATCTCTTTTATAACATCTCTCTTTTATAACTTTTGGTTACATTTGATATCATAAATATATTTATATTTTCTACATTTGATATCATATCTTGGTAATCATATGACATATACCGAAATGACAATGTAAATATGTAACCCTTCTAGAAATCATATGGTATCATGTTACAAATAATGAAACTGGTTGATATAACCCGGATAAAATAAAAGTATGTAACATAAAATGAAATATGGTTAGAGTAATTAATGGGAAGAGAGAGATTAAATCGGGTATATGGTTAATGTGATATGATTTGTAACATTCGATATATATATAGATGTAGGACGAAAATAAATGACCAAAATGCCATTAATGAAAGGTACACACAACTTGTATAAGTCGATTTTTTTCGGGTGCCTTCACTTTTAATAGTATAGATTCTATTAATAATGAAATCATCGAGACCATGATGTAGGCATACAAATATATATTTCTTATTTTGAATGATTTATTATATAAATCTATTAGTAACTAACTAGTACTATTTAATAAGATTGGAATTTCTGTTTGTTTTATTTCAGATTTTAGTCCTAATGTTTTATATGATAAAAAGAGATAAATTGAATAATCTTTTTATTTTAATTTTAAATGTTAATAGTAATGTTTTCTATTTTTAAACAAGCAAACTCATAGTTCTATATTTTTTATGATTTAATTCAGTAAAGTGTTTTGTATATCTATCTTATTAAAAATAAATAACCACAGTTTAATATTATACATTAGTTCAAACTCTACCAAGATGTTTAATGATATTTCTAATATAATTCTAAACTCATATATGATGTAAATTCTAAACTCTATTGTATAATATTATCGTATAAACATATGTTCAGTTATTTATAAATATGAGATTTATTATGTGATACCAGTGTTGGTCATATAATTGACGTTAAAACACAAAATATAATTACTCAAAATTTTGCAAAAATTTTAAATTCATAAATTAATAGTGTAATACATTTAAAATAATAATATATAGCTCTACTTTTGTATTTATTTCAAAAATTAAAAGGAAAGTATATATATAAATATTAAAATTAAATTTAACATAAGCAGTAGTTTTGTATTTGAATAGGTTACTAGTTCTGATTTTGAAGCTGTAATGATTTTGACTTAAATGTGGTACTAAATAAAATATTAAAGTTAAATTAATCATAAATGACCCTAGGAAACGGAAGACTCTTCCACTTTCAAAGTCTTTCTTATATTCGTTAAGAGAGAGCTCTTGTTCACAAAAACCCTAAAGCTTCAACTAACACTTCAATGGCAAATAATCTCAAGCACCCATTGGAAGATCCACCATCCCTATCTCCAAGCGCCGGTGAGAAAGAAATAGAGTTCGTATCGTCTGATGAAGAGGACCACCAGCACACCATCATTTCTTCAGAAGAAGACGAACCCGAAGATCCTCGACCGAGGAGTTCAAGCGAGACCCAGCTGTCACATTGGAAACGTCTCTCAACCAACGCGAGGTCGAAGCGTGCCAAGAAAACTTATACACAAGGTAAGAAGATAGGATCAGATCTTAGAAGACTGTTTAGTGAGAAAGATGAGATTGTTTTGTTACAAAGTATAATTGATTCCAAAGGGAAGAATCCATTAGAAGACAATCGCTTACTCTACGAATCCATGAAAGGGTCTTTTAGCGTTGATGTTACGTTGGGACAGTTCAGAGAGAAGCTTCGGACTACGAAGAAAAAATATACAACTAAAGAAATGAAGGGTGAAAAAGCTTTTGCTCTGAATCCTCATCAACAAAAGTGCTTTCAGTTGTCAAAGGCTATCTGGGGAGCTGAAGGGATAGCTTGTGAATCTGCTAATGGGAAAGCGAAGGAGAGTAAGAGGAGAGTGACAAACAAGCTTGACTTGGTCTCTTCACGTAATGGTAATGCCCAAGACGGTAGGAAAAGAGAAGATATGGAGAAGTCACCACATGGTGTGACAAAATCTGATTGGGATGAAAGTTCGTTTTTTCTTGGTATGGATTTTCTCAAGGAAAAATGGACCAAGTTGCCGACTGAGTCTAAGAAAACCCAATTAGAGAAGATGAAGAAGTTGCATGCCAACGAACTTGAATGTAAAAAATATGAAGAGACGTTGAAGGTCCTGAAAGATCAATGTACGCAGGACAAGGTAGAATTGTTGAATGAAGTTACCTCTTTGATTATAGCAGCAGATTAAATACAGTATTTTGGGTTCTCTTTTTATATGCAATGCCTTTTTGTTGTTTTTAAACTTAAGATCTTAACTTTCTGTTGTCTTTTGTGCGTGTTTTATGATTCTCTAGTTGAATTCATGTTGCTTATTTATAAATACATGAAACGAGCAAATTCTATAAAGCTTTGTTTCAGTTTATGCAAATATTATTCACTAGTTGGAACCTCCTCCTAGACATTCCCAGTTGACATAGAAACTCAACTTTCTATTACTGAAATATGTATATCTTAAAAGTTCGTTAACGTTGCAATAGAAAAGTTCATTCTCGTGCACATCTCATTATATCCGAGGGTAGAACCGGTGCTCCAGCTTTGCGACAAGCAAGGGAAGATATAGCTAAAGAGCTCGACAATGTCAGAGAGCTTTAGGCCATCCACATTAGTGAACTAGGTAGGGGGGGGGGGGGTTCATAGCTATTTTTTTAATTGTTTTTTTTCTTTTTTTTCGTTTTTTTTTTTTAAAAAAAAAAAAATAACAATCCAACCAATCGCGAGACACCACGTGTGGTGGGGCCCGCAAAACTGACATGAACCCGGTTCGTTGTAGTGAACTCTCACGGGGTGGGTTCATAGAGTTTATTGTATTTTATTTGTTTTTTCTTGGATATTGGGCCTGTGAACCCCTCAAAAGCCCTCAATGGACATGCCCTTAAAGCTCACTTTCGTCAATATCATTACTGCTCTTTTACATCAAAGCTACGATGTTCCCGCCACTTCTACAAATTGTACAGGACATCAGGTAATGAAATCAAAACCTATGACTAGACTAGTAAAGCCTCTACTTTGTGTATTTATATTCACAATTAGAGTTAACTAGCTACAAATTTACAAAAAGGCTTGGTGTATTTATTAATTTTTAAAAATGGAAATTTAAATCTAAATCGAATATTACATAATCAAATATATATATATAGTGGCATATTGTTCATGTAGATAATTTACAAAATTTTGATTTTTTTTATAATTTACATATTTTTTAAATTTACAATACATAATCGAATATTACAAAACTTTGAATTTTTTTATTATTCAACATATTTTTATTTAGACTGAATATAACAAATAAATATTAAATAACTAAAAGTATTAGATAAAAATGATTTTATCTACAGGAACAATATGCCACTATAAGAATACACACCTAAACAAAAGTAATATTACTTAAATTATTTGAATCATACTACAACATCCATCCATGATCTTGTAAGTGATAAATTGTTAAAAACCCATCCAATCTAATTCAACCAATCAAATTTTAATTTAATTGATATATTTTCATTGGTTTGGATTGATTAAATTGAGTATAGTGGATTATGTCTGTCGATTTGATTTTTCAATATTAGATTGCTGAATTTTAACATACGATCAGATATTCTAGAAATAAAAAAAAAATATAGTTGTGATCCGTGTTAACTAACACTTATCGTCATTTTAACGATCAAGTTCATGTAATTAATTAGGGGAAAATTGTCATTTAAATCACAAACTTTCAAATTTGGTTGAAATAAAGCACCAACTTTCTCATAAGCCAAAAAAATACTCAACTTTTATTAACAAGCCATTTTAATCACAAACTTTCGTCGACCATACCAATTTAGGCATATCGTTAGTCAACAGTTATAGTTGACTAACAGTAGGCCTAAAATGGCTTTCGAAGTTGATGTTTTTTTTGGCACAAATATAAATCAATATTTTTTTTACAATATTGGATATATTTTTAATATTGAAAATATTTTTATAACAGAAGCACTAACAAATAAAACTATAAATAAAAATTCTAGAAAAAAATATAAATAAAACTCAATGTAAAATAATTAGTTAACATACATTAATTAAGTATCTTAGTTATAAAATGATAAGAATATTTTAATTATTTACAATTAATTTTTGTAAATATTTATATAATCCTATTTGAATTATGTTTTATAATTTTTTTTTCAAAAGTTTGTTGATAAAATATTAATTCAACTCGTCTTTCTTAAATGAAAAAAATGTCGACTAACAAATTATTCATGATTCTTTAAGTTTATAATAAAGATCTTCAAACAAATCTATATATTTTCTATAAAATTTTTACAAGAGGTTTTCTGCATCTAAAAAAAAAATAAGTTTCACCAAAATAGATAACTTTTTTTGTTATCCGGTAACTCATTTTGTTTAAAAAATCAAGAATTGAAATAATATTTTACTAACAAATTTTTGACAGTAAAATTATAAAACATAATCCGTGTAGGATGATACAAATATTTTTTTAAAATTAATCATAAATAATTTAAAAATCATAATCATTTTTAACTAAAATACCCAATTAAGGATATGTTAATTAATAATTTTACATTGAGTTATTTTTATATTTTTGAATGGAATTTATTTTTTATTTACAATTTTATTTATTAGTGTTATAGTTATTAAAAGTGATAAATTAATTTGTTTAGATGAGTAGTTATGTGATGTCATCTAATCTATTAAAATAAAGTATTATTTTTATGTACTTATAAATGTTATCATTTAAGTTTTAGACTTAAAATTTAATTTTTAATTTTTTAAAATTTACATTTTTGTAGAATGTATATATTTTTAAGCCTGGATTTTATTTATTATTTTAAAACTTTACATTTTGTACTACTACGCGTGGATTCTATATTTAATTTTTTAAAATTTACATTTTGTATTGCTGTTTAGTTTGAGTATGTATCTATTTTTTGAAGCTTAGATTATATTTATTATTTTAAAATTTTACATTTTGTACTATTACTTTAATTTTTTTGTTTGAGTATGTATCTAATTTTGAAACAATTTTATAACAGTATTCTGGCTTAATGTCTTGCTTGTTTTTTATTTTAAAGGGACTTTTGGTTTTTGTGTTTCAAAAATCATTTTATTATGGGATATTTGATTCTATAACCAAAAAAAAACTTCAATTTACCAAATATACATAACAACTTAATGGTTAGAGTATACCTTATACATTATATAATAATTTGTTAAACCATATGTTGATACTGTATATATATGTGTAGTATTAACTTTTGTTTTTTTTTCTTGTTTTTTTGTTTTTGTAGTTAGCATGTATCCCATTCTAATGTAAGAGCTTTAGTTTTTTTTATCCCATTCTAATGTAACAGCTTTAGTTTTTTTATTAACACTACTTAGCATTTCACACATTAAGAACATAGATCTTTTACACATACAAACAGGGGTGTGATACTTTCACAAAAGATACTATGGGTGGATCCAACGAAGATAAACAACTTTGGAAAAAACCCCCAAAAGGCTTCCTCAAATGTAACGTTGGTTCTTCCTGGGTAAGCGCGAATCGGGGTAGTGGTGCGTCATGGATTCTACGTGATGAGAGCGGCTGTACTCTCATGCATAGTCGTAGAGCTTACTCCTGTATGCGTTCAAAGGTAGAGGCTGACCTATGGGCCCTTTTTTGGGCAGCGGAGTGTGTACAGACCCTGCACTTCTCAAACATTATTTTCGAGACGTCATCTGAATGCCTACGCAATCTTCTATCCCAGCCGAATAATGAGCCAAGGTTCAGCCACCTCCGACACAGCTTATCACTGGTTCTCGCACGAATAGAAGACTGGAGCATTGATCATGCTCTCCCAGATCGAAATGGTGCTGCCGATGCTATCGCCCTTAGCGTCACCCGTGACCTGCGCCATCAATCGTACATTGCCCGAAGCGCCCCCTCCTGGCTCCACAGACTACTTGCATTGGAGGCGAATTAGGTTTGAATATGTATGAGGTTATTTAGGCCGTTTGTCTACTGACATGTTTCTTGCCTTGTATCTCATGCGTGACTTTCATCTCTGCTACTTGTGTTTGAACATCAGTGTTATAAAAAAAAGAAACAGGGGTGGGCAAAAAAATAAACCAAACCAATCCAACTAAACCCAAGCCGACCCAATATATCTAACCATTTGGTTTTAAACCGAACCAAACAAAAAAAAACCGAAGTATTTTTTCTTAGATAAATTAATTAAATATACTAATAATATTGAGATTTAATATATTTTGCTTATAAATTAAAAAACTAAAAAAAAATTATACATTTTTCTTTTAAATAAATAGAATAAATACAACTAAAATAAATGATAAATCATACATTAACATCGATGACGCCAAGTCTAATCAACTAAAAATGATACTAATCAACTAAAATAATGATAAGTCATACCCCACAAAAACTAATCAAGTTGAACTAAAAGTCTTTGTATAGTGAGATCAGTAACTACTTACGTAGTTAAGTCATTGCAACCTTTGTATTAAATAAGTAACTGATCATTTTATTATAGAAGAGTTTGAAGATTAGATAGATAGTTTTAAATTCAACAAAGAACTCTCAAGAACACACACATAGAATAAAAACAGAGTACTGAGAAATTGGATTATGAGGCAGTCACTTATTTACTCTGACCATCATTACTGAGTACCTATTAGATATATCTCACTGAAATATCTTCTGGGAAGCTGGCCTCTTGGTAATCTCTTGGAGAATCATTCTCGCCAAGTTATTTAAGATACTATGGGAGTTCCCGGCTGCCACCACTGTTGACCTGCAATATAGAGGTTACAGGGGTGGTCAGAGATTGTCACATTTGTAGACGGTGGACAAATGGTGGTCAGAAAATAACAAATCTCATCAAGAGCCATAGCAGTTGCGTCCGGCTTGGTAAGCTTATCTATGTCTTTGTCGAACACCACAAAAGTCACACTATCATTCCCATCATCAACTGATAATTCGACATGGTACCTATTTTAAAATTTGATATTAGTGAAGGTAATTATAAGATAGTATAATATCTTAAATATCCATGAACATGAAATCTTTGCACTTGATCACACCGGTGACATTGGGATTAACATATTGGTAGCAATAAAGCGAGCTGCCAGATTTCTATAGTTTCCTGCTGCATCAAGTGCAGAATAAAGTTAATATATACACCGTAGCTATAGTATAGTAACGAATATATATATTACCATTTAAGCTCAATAATAGCATAGATCCAAGGTATAAACAACTGTTCATTTTTTATGAAAACAACAATGCTAGCTAAAAATTTAGTTTGAATATTGGATATTGTTTGTAGCTTTTCAATGGGGAATAGTCGAAAAACCAAAGAATAAAGATCAATAAAGGACCAAAAAAGTTATGTACCTTGTTGTTAACCGAAAGAGAGTTTTTGGAATACCATGTGTCATGCCTCTCCGTTTGGCAATGAGCAAAACACGAGTTAAGAAACACTCCGTTCTTACTTGGATTTGCGAAACCTTTGATCAAATTCACCATACGATTCCTGAAACCTGTCAAACATTAATTCAAAATCAAGAACAAAAAAAATTAGTTAGTTGATTATTCAAAAATTAAGTACATTATTAGCTCATTTTACACCTTGCAAGAACTGGATCTGAGTTGCATTGCACTTGGTGTAGTCAAGTCTACAATCATGCCAACTTCCACTTCGATCTGCAGTTTTGGTAGCTAAACTCTCTTGGATCTGCACAAACGATATATGAAAATACACATTTTGCCTGTTTAGATAAAACTGAGGGTTAAAGAAGAATATAAACTAACCTGCCACGAATCGTAGGCAGTATTTAGAATAAACAGTGGAGTCTTGATTTGGTTGATTAGATTTTGCGGGAAAAAACACTGAAGTGTTGAATCATTAAGTATATTTTTGAAATATCTGCCTACCTGGTTTTACTAAAGAGATAGAAAGATGAGTAACCATACTGAAGTTGGATTAAGACGGTTTAAACACTCCTTAAGAGCTTTGTTTCCAGATTCTGTAGAAACATTACACAATCTTTGATTACTATTCTTGAGACAAAGTGTAACACATTGAAAATGTTTGTGTTTATACCTGTAACTTTACCACACCAGCATATAAACGCCTAAGAGATCGACCTCCAGAGACATCGATGCTTCAGTTACAAAACAAGTCAATATATATACCAAAATAATAACGTAGTTGTTAATGGAAGAGATTAATTAGAAAATTACTCACGCGTCAAGGAAAAAGCCAGCATCGGTCCAACATTTCACTCTGGTAGAAGGAGGAAACATATTCCCGGAATCATCACACCGTAAAATGGCTGCAAGACCTCCAACAAAACATCCAGAGAACAGAGCCTAATGTGACATAAAGGTCAAAGCAGAGTACATATATGAAAACAAAAGAAAAGAAAAAAAATAGTTTACCTGTTTGGCTTGACACATTCCCTTTGTCATCAAATCTTCCAGTGAGGCCCACTATTCTGCGGGATACCTATACCTAGGTCCAAATCCGCCCCGCCACAGGTTTTAATGGGCCTGTCTTGCGGCCCAGTCCCCACTTTCACATCTCTACTTAAATATCTTTGAAATTCAATAAATCTCAAAGATATTTTAAATAGATGCGACTATAGCACAAAAAACATCTTCCAAGTCAATTCTCGCGGATTTCAGATTTAAACACACTATTCAACCCGAAAATAAATTTTATACAATTGAAATACGGAAATGTCTTCTAGTCAAGTTTATTGTTATGTAAAACTAAAATGAAGAATCTTGAGGAGTAAATACATATTTTAACATTTTTATAATATTGATAACTATAAAATAAATGTGCTTCAGAATAAGAGAAATAAAGAAAATATTGAAATGCTTTTTACAAAAATAAATAATTATATTAAAATAGTTAAAAATATTTAATGATACAAAATAAAAACAAAATTTTCAGTTTTAGTAAGAAAAAATGTTCTATATTTCTTTTAAATTAATGAACATAAAAGAATAAAAAGAAAAACATAAATAAATAAATATAAAAATTAAATTGATCTTAAATGGTATTTTCTTCATTTCCTAATAAATACTTCATGGCTTTTAATAATATCTCTTATTAAAATAGAATCACTTCCAAAGTTTTTACATTAAATACACTCTTCTATTATGTAGTTAACTCATCCCAATTAACCAATATCAATTTTGTAATACTACTACTAAATGTGTTTTCAAAGTAATAATTAATTTGTATTCAAACAATAGATTTTATTTTTTTATTTATCTCATTTTTATTCAATCAAATTTTTAAAAATAAATATAACTATTTTCACGGGTTTATATACTGCAACATAATTTTATTTAATATAAAATTAATTAAATTAGTGGATTCTTTTGTTTAAATTTTCGTAATTATAAAACTATATTCATTTAAAATTAATTAAAATTTTTATTATATTATTTTCTTAGACTATTTTAAATTTTAAGAACATATAATTATTAATGCGAGATTATGATTGGTTCAAATTGAAATCAAATCATTTTATACAAAAAATATTAAAATAATAAATTAACATAAAATAATTTATAATTTAAAATTTATCAAATAAATATATATCACACTATGAGTCAAACAAACTATAGAAAAATTATTTTCTATTTATAACAACTTGTTGAAATAAAGTTAAGTAATATATATTTTCATATTTATATAAATAAAAATAATATAATTATTTCTCAAATACACTAAAATTAACATGTGTAAACTTTACTTACGAAAACAAATGTTACAATATACTTCCTATGTTTCATACTAAATACAATAGAGAATTTTTTCGTTGCAAAAAAAATTATCGTTTTCAGTAATAAATTATTAATTTTATTAAGTAAATTTTTTTTTAATTATAATATAGTTAAGTATATAGATTATTGTGTTTTTATATAGAAAATATGCAAAATTAATTGTTTTCTTAATTGCACAAATCTAAAGCATCTACTCTATTAAAATAGAGTCATTCTTTTTATCTACCGATACAAGTTGTCATTTAAATTTGGACCCTTTCTAGAATGTTACAAATAATATAAGTCATATAATTGACTGAATTGTATTACTTAAATTAAACCAACACAATTAATGTAAAGAGACGATTTTAATGTAAACTACCTTCAAAATACGGCAGGTATCTATATGTATATCGAAAACATATATTTTCTCCTACAAATATGATATGTTCTAAAAGAATATATATCATCAAAATATGGAATATGGAAATCTACTAATTATACTTAAACTAAACCAATGATTATTTATGGAATATATTCTAGGGCTTACTTTTATTTTTTGAACAAATTATATAGTTTGGTTTTTGGGCTTAGTATTAAGAAAAAAACTCCAAAAGCATTGAATAAACTTTTCACCTTAAAATTTCAAAAAAGTAAATTATTATTTTCAGACCCAAAACGTATTTAATATTTTTAACAAAACAAAATTATCTATTATTAATCATTTATTTAAATCATGTACTTTAAAACATGTTAATATATTTTTTTATTTTAAATAACAGTCACTTTGTTTTGATAAATTTCAATTGTAACTTTTAAATAATTTATTGTTTTATTTTTCTTAAATAATTTACTGATTAAAAAATGTAAAGCAAACCAAAAACCAAATCTAAAAACTAAAATCCAAAACCAAAAGCTGAAAACACATGTTATATTTTTTTGCTTTGCTTATTTACAAAATAAACTATTTCAAATTTATTTTTTAACTTTGTTATCATCTTTTCAGTTTTATATTAGATGTTCGATTATTTGAGATTTGTTTGTTGGTAATATTAGTTCAAACTAACTCAACGGGTTTAAAAATTAATAACTCAAACCAAAAACTGAAAATGAAAAGTAGAAACTTAAAAACTAAAAACAAAAAATCAAAATCTAAAATAAAAACTGAAACTAAAAACTAATGAAAAACAATCATCACCACAAATTTTGGTGAACTGATTTTATATCAACATATTCTTTAAATTAAGACAAAACCCAATTATATAAATTTTTAATCATAAAAAAATTTCCGCGCTTTTAAGCGCGGGTCAAAATCTAGTCTAATCTATTAAAATAGAGACATTCTTTTTATCTACTAATACAAGTTGTCATTTAAATTTGGACCATTTCTAGAGTGTTACAAATAATATAAGTTTTATAATTGATTGAACCGCACTACGTAAATTAAACCAACACAATTAATGTAACATGGCGACCTTAATGTAAACTATTTTTAAAATACGGCGGATATCTATGTGTCTACCAAAAACACATATTTTCTCTTACAAATATGGAATGTTCTAAAAGGATATATATTATCAAAATATGGAATATGGAAATCTACTAATTATATTAATGTGGAAATCGTAATATACCATTTAGCATCTTAACAATTCCTTAAAAATGGAAATTTAATAATTATATGAAACCAATGGAAATACAAATTGTCAAATTGTCATTTAAATTTGAACTCTTTCTAGAGTGTTACAACAAGCCATATATAATTGAATCACATTACTTAAATTAAACCGATGGTTATTTATGGGATATAGTCTTGGGCTTACTTTTGTTTTTAGGACAAATTATATGGTTTGATTTTTAGGCTTACTATTAAGGAAAAACTCCAAAAAACATTGAATAAAATTTCTGTCTTAATGGATCAAAAAATCAATTATTATTTTCAGGCCCAAATGTATTTAATATTTTTAAGAAAACAAAATTGTCTATTATTAATCATTTATTTAAATCATGTACTTTAAAACATGTTATTATATTTTTTATTTTAAATAACAATCACTTTTTTTTGATAAATTTCAATGGTAACTTTTAAATAATTTATTGTTTTATTTTTCTTAAATAATTTACTGATTTAAAAAAAAATGTAAAGCAAAACCAAAAACAAATTCTAAAAACTAAAACTCAAAACCAAAAGCTGAAAAACATTGTTCTGGATAACATATTGTTATAGTTTTTGCTTTTGTTTATTTACAAAATAAACTATTGCAAATTTTTTTGTCATCTTTTCAGTTTTAAATTAGATGTTCGATTATTTGAAAGTTCTTTGTTGGTAATATCAGTTCAAACTAACTCAGCGGATCTAAAAATTAAAAACCAAAACAAAATCTCAAAATCAAAAATAGAAACTTAAAAACTAAAAATCAAAATCTAAAAATAAAAACTGAAACTAAAAACTAATGAAAAAAATCATCACCACAAATTTTGGTAAACTGAATTTATACCAAAACATTATTTAAATTAAGACATAATCCAATTATATAAATTTTAATTATAAAAAATATCTGCGATTTCAAGCTGGTCACAATCTAGTATTTATTATGAAACAGAAAGGTCTTACCAAAAAAAAATAGTGAAACAGAAAGGAGTACGAAGCACACAGGTCATAATGTAGTTTTGAGGAGATTTAAGCAAAAATCTTTCTCGAAGAGTGATCAACTTAATTCGGAATCTTTCTGGACTTGCTGCTGTACACAAAACCCTAAAATCGAGTAGTTCCGAAAGCCAATCGCATGGCAAGCAACCCGAAGCACCCATCATCATCATCTTCAAGCGCCGGCGAGAAAGAAATGGAGTCTGAAGAAGAAGGCCATACCATATTTTCGTCGGAAGAAGACGAACCGGAAGATGCTCCACCGAGGAAGCGGCTGAGGGAAGGGATGTCACCCATTGAAATTGAGAAGAATAGACTGTTTACTGATAAAGATGAGATTGTTTTGCTACAAGGTATTATTGATTGCAAAGGGAAGAATCCATTTGAGAATAAGCGCACACTCTACGAATCATTGAAGGGCTCTTTTAGCTTTGATGTTACGTTGGATCAGTTCAAGGTTAAGATTCAAAATCTGAAGAGGAGTTATAGAAATAAAGTGATGAGGGGTGGAGAAGCTTCTTGTTTGAATCCGCATCAACAAAAGTGTTTTCAGTTGTCAAAGCTTATCTGGGGAGCTCACGGGATAGCTTTTGAGTCTGCTAACGGGAAATTAAACAAGAGTGAGAGGAGGAGAGTGTCAAAGAAGCTTGACTTGGTCTCTCCACCAAAGGCTAAGGGTAGGAATGTTCAAGAAGGTAGTAGAGATATGAAGAAGTCACCACTTGTATCTGATTGGGATGAAACTGCTTTCTTTGTTGGTATGGATTTTTTGAAAGAAAAATGGACCAAAGTGTCAACTGAGACTAAGAAGGAAACCCATGGGAAGATGAAGAAGTTGCTTGCTAATGAACTTGAATGTCAAAAATTTGAAGACATGTTGAAGATTATGAAAGATAAATGTGCTCAAGAAAAGGTAGAGCTGTTGAATAAGGTTACCTCTTTGATCATGGCATCAGAGATTAGATCCAAATAAATAGTTTATTGGCTTCTCTTTCTAGATGCAATGCCTATATGTGATTGCAACGTAGATTCAGTGTCTTTTTGTGTATTAATTAGCTTATCCTTCTCTATTTTGGTTGGATTGTATGAAAACAATGAAAGTAACACCAAGCGAGCAAATTCACTAGTTGTAGCATCCTCCTAGACATCCCCAATCTGACATTGAAACTCATTATTGAATATATCTATTCTTAAAAGGTTCCATAACGTTACAAATGAAAAGTTTTAACAAGCCCTTACAAGATTTCAATGCCTTAACCTGGTTTTAATCCTGTTAATTCGGCTGTGCCAAACTGAATGCAAAATCATATGAAAGAGATCAAACTTCGCAGGTTTCTTGTGCCACAGGAAATGTTGCTGCACCGTCTTTACCCTTGCGTGCATTCCAATATATCTCTCTTCTGGTATAGACAGCAGAATGTTCCTCAGATTCTCTATGTCTTTCTCCTCTACAAACACTGCAAATTCCTCCCAGTTCAGAACCTCGAAAAAGGGCGGAACATAGTTGTCAGCAATGATAACTGGGACACATTCATTTATTATAGCTTCCACAACCCTAGGAGTATGGACTTCATAACCCCTTGCACAAATGCAGTACCTGTTGCCATGATCAATAAACTTTTCAGAGCCAAAAAAACAAACTAACACATTTTAATTCGATGACCTTACCTGCTGCTCTTCATGTATTCACGGTACTGTTTCTTGCCTTGAGGGTCACGAGGCATTGGACCGAAGATCTTCATGTCAGTTTCTTTGTTCTCCCAAAGCTGAACAAGAATCGGTCGAAGATATCCATGCATGCTTCCAGCAAAGAATGCAAGAATCTTCCTCTCTGATGGAGGTTTTCCTCCACGGTACTCAATAGGAGACTCAGCAGAGCGTATATATGTGACCGGTAGAGCTGTGTCGATCCCAATTCTGAAGCCTTGTGCAACATTTGAGTTACAAAGTGAACGGACACTGTTACTCATGTGTTTCTTTGTCAGTTTGTTGCCCTGAAAAATAACATGCAACATAAATCAATGAAGAAACAATGTTCCTTGGTCTCACTTGGTACTGTTAACTTTTATGTATCTGAATCTATAAAAAGACAAAGAGAAAGACTTTTGCACCCAATCATGGCAAGCAACAAGGAAGTGATCGGCTCCAGCAGTTCGGTTCCAGAACTTGTACTTAGCTGCTATAAAATCCACATATTCCTTCAAATGGTCCGCAAGACTCTTTGGTGTCTGAAAGTCCCGTCCCAGAGAGGTCCTGAGAGCTTTAATGCTGACAGGTATGTAGAACAAATGAGCCTTCCTAGGGTCTCTTACTAGAAACTTCTTGTTGCTTTCCATGAGTTTCATGAACCAACCTTCAGAGGCATAGATTCCACGAGGCTTCGGGTTATGGAATATAGGCTTCTTTCCTTCCTTGTACACATAGACTTTAAGTTTCCTCTCCATCAAGTCGTAACTCCTAAAACAAGGCAACACATCAAAAAGTCTCTCTAGATTCTCATCCTGACAAGAAGAAACAGCTTACCTTAGAAACTTGGAGATATTTCGATAAACGGAAGCATCAAGTCCAAGAGAGTCATGAACAACAAGAGCATTCTCAATCTCAGATTTTGCAGAGAGCATTTCAGAGTCTCGAGCAGATGACCAACGAGGCTTCTGCATATAAAAAGGGCCAAAAATAAGATGCCAAAAACACTTTCGAAATTCAACAATCAAGAGTCTTACAGGGGAATGAGAAGAAGGAAGACTTTGGATCAGCAATGAGTTCATCTGAGATATGGAAACTGTAGCAGCCACTTGCTTCTGTCTTCTCATAGTAGACAAAGCATTACTCCTAACCAAAACCGAACCTTCAACAGCCATTTCAGGCTTCCCCAATGATAGATTTGGTGAAGCAATAACAGATACATTAAGCTCTACTTTTACATTGCTGACTGCAACAACATTTTTTCTAGTAGGGGAATCATTGTTTCTTGTCCCTTCTTCATCATCATCATTACTAGAGAGATTCATCTCTGTTTTGACCACAGAGACTTCATTGGGGTTAGCTACAAGTACAATCCCTGAAACCTTAACCGGAGACAAGCAAAAATAATTGCGACAGGGGATACCGAAACAGAGAACAAGTAGAACAACTAAACCAACGGTAACGATGATGGCCGACAGCAATCTGCGGATGTCAAATCGAGAAAGTATTCTCATTGCAGCAAAGGAATTGACTTTTTCTTTCTCATACAGAGGCAATCTCCATTAGATGGAGACAAATCCACAAAACAGTCACAAGGTGTTCGAGGTCTTGACACGAATCATCGATGGAGGAGGAGCTTGCCGATGATGTCAATGGAGAAGTAGAACTGTGACTAGAGAGATTCCGACACTGTGTTCCGTATAATATCTTCAACGAACCCAACAACAGTGAAGCGACTGTGTCTTTCTTCTTCACTCTTTTTTTCTGGTCAACTATTCCCTTTTCAATGTGGATAAAAGCCGATCTCTCACCCATGTTAGTAACATAATTAATTAGTATAGTCTTTATACTCTAATTTTCAACAGTAAAAAAAAAAGAGAGCTCCAACAAAATCAAAATAATAAACGGTAACATTTATCATGAAGATCTTTTGTAAATGTTTTTATGTGAACTTTAAAAAACATAAATGTTCTAATACTTATTTACCTACAAATCTATTTTATTATATAAGAATACGTAACTATCAAATTTATTTCTATAAAAAAATGTTAAAATAGTTTATTTAATTATATATAAATTATTAATAAAAATAAAGAAATTAAGAAAACATATACAGTATATTTTTTCTCCGATTCTACATTTAGTTACCATAAATCATTATTAGTAATATCACTTATGTTATTTAGTAATTTGTATTAATTAATTCTAGAGTTACTTTTTTGTAGAAGTTAACTAATAAAAATTAATAACCAATCAAATTATAACTATTGTTAAAACTTAACCTATTAACTACACATAAACAAAAATTACTTTCTCAACTAATATATATATAAGGATTTATCTCTTTAAAATTAAGGATGAATTTGGTTAAGGTAATCATGAAAACATGTATTAGGAAAATTGTAGTTTAAGCAATTTATCTCATAATTTTGGTTAATCACAAATCACACTCATTTTTATAATGTTTTAACATAAAACTCAAGTGAGTTAACTAAACAGAGTCTTCCTTAAACTATCTCCGATCATAAACACTAACTCATTGAACCAATTTTTTTTATTAAAACTAAACATAGTTTATATATCTTTTAAAAGTATTAGTTTCATTTATTTTAAATTACTTTAAAACATCCATATTTTAATTAAATCTGATTAATTAACTATATGTAAAAGAAAAAATACTATTCAAATTTTTAAATAACGCAGCATCGTTATTTTAGGCATGTATACTAAATATTAATATGAGATCCAATATTAAATCAAAACAAAATGTTTTATTTGTATAAAATTTGTTAAATTATTATAATTGTACATTTTAAATTATTTTTTCTTACTTTCAGTTACATTATATTTTACATCTTTGATTTTAATAATTGTATAACTGATCATTTTTATTGATCTTCTTTACTTAATTTATATTAACGTTTTAAAACCACATAAAAATAATTAGTTCACTTTTACAGTAACACAAAAATACATATATCTCGACAAAAATAAAAATTAAAACATAAGAATAGAAAAATGAAGAAGACAACAAACATATTTTATTATTTTATATAAATTATGTTAATTCATCCATATTTAAGATGTTTAAATGTATGTTTGGAAACATAGATCAGATTAAGTAATTTTATGATTAGTTTCCTTTTAAAATCTCTACTAAAATAACTAAATAAAAAACAACCAACCAATCAAATTATAACAATTAATTGGAGAGCTTTTCTATGAGCGACACGTTAGCAGAAATCACTTAAGTGATTTTTCAATTAATATATAGGAGGATTCGCCACATCAAAAATACGTGAAAAGCGTTATTATGAAAATTTTAGTTATTTTATTAATAAATAAGAAAAATAGAATTAAATTAAATAAAATAATAACAACTAAATGCAATAATATATAAAATAGTTACATTATATAATCCGGTGACCATTTTTTGTGTCAGTATAAGGAAAATATCCCGAAAATTAATAAATTTTAAAATACGTATTAAAATTTTATTTAAAGAATAAAATAACTAAATTAGTCTTATATATAGTAGAAAACCTACAAATTACATTTATAAATTCGGTTTGTCCCGAATTGTGAATTCAAAATATTTTAAATAAATAAATAAATAATAAAACAATGTTTTTACAAATTTCTATGTAAGTCTATAGTCTTATTAAAATCCTAAATTAAAGTTTGTTTATATAAAAAATTTCTATAAATACAAAAAAAACATTCGTTTGGTTACTTTATATTCAAATGCATTTATTTTTATATTATTAATGCTTCAATATATTTTGATAATACTTAGTAGTATTATATAAAACATATTTAAATTTTGTGAAACATATTTTATATATACCAAATAATATAATAAACAATATCAAAGTTAAAGCTTTTTAAAAAATGATTAATACATATACAGTAAAACCAACTATTTTATTTTATTTTTGTAATATATTTTATAAAATAGAAAATCGACAAAAAAATATAATTTTTAAATTTTTAACACTCTAAATTAATAAATTTCTATATTAATAAAATTATTATTTTATAAAGATTTTATTAATAATTTTTTAACACTCTAATTTAATATTTCTATATTAATCTTTATTTATGTTATGCTGAAACTAAACTAATCAATACTATCTTTGTTAAATTAGCATAAAATCTAATTTAATATTTTTTAGTTACATATAACTGAAATACAGGATAAATAAGAAGATGAAAGTTCTTCTAGTGTGAAAATAATTTTACACAACAACTTATTATATTTTTATCTTTTCTCAATAAAAAAAGTAACAACTATAAAAAGATATTTGACCTATTCTTACTGTATTTTAGCAAAATATGTTAGTTGAAAACATAAGAGAATCTATAAATAAAGAGTACCAAACACTTTTAGAGTTAAATGTTTAGGTATTGTTATTATGGCATCTCCAATGCCACTATATCCTTTCCTATATAGTGTCTTCTAAAACAGAAATAACCCTATTATACAGGAAATTATAGTGGCATTGGAACTGGTTTTACAAAACAAAAACAAAACGCTCTACGGCGACAAGATAAATTTTAGGGTTTGAGATTTGCTCGATGATTTTCGATTTTTTTGTCATAGATTTGAGGGTTATTCAAGGTTCTATACTTTATCGGTGGGGATGATGAGGATTCTTGATTTGATTAGGGTGTTTGGGCTATTAGATCAGATAAGAAAATTGAATTAACCATTGGTTTGTTGCTTAGGACTTTGTCAATTGGGAGGTCTTGTGACTCTTATGGCTATGGATTTAAGATTCTGTCAGGTTTCAGAAGCGGAAGAACAGATCTTTACATAAATATTTTTGAGATCCATATTCCAAAGGGGATTAGGAGGAAGATAATTAAGGAATCCTGGTTCTGCTAATGGAGGTATGAGATGATGAGTGTAGACACGAACAAGAGGATGTGTAATAGAAAAATAAACAGAAGATTTTGGTTTGAAGTATTAATGCGTCAAGGTAGTTTAAGGCATCATGGAGGGACGAATGGTCGACTAATTTATCATTTTTTATGGTTATTAATATATTTTGAGGACTTTACTAATTTCAATGTGTTATTTTCTTTGGTAATTAATGGATGTTAACTTAAACCATATTGTGTACTCTTTCATAAACATGTCATGTATGGTTTTAGAGATAAGGTCTTTAAAAGAGGCACAAGAAGCAACATATGGGTGTGATTCGTCATGGACACTTGTATTTTGAATGGTCATCTGGGTATTTTTGTTTTGCTCTATCCTTACGAGGTGTAAGACTGGATCTGTGAGAGACGATGGATTTGGGGTATATACAAGATCACCTCACCAGTCTTGCTTTACAAGACGGGCATATTTGAAGATGTATGCTGGTGGTTATTAATATGTATGCTTAATGCATACTTTCATCTGAATTATATAAAATTCATCAAACGTTTGGCAATAAATTGTGTCCCTAACTCATATTCTATAGATGGTAGTTTTCAGTATGAGAAAAATATATAGTTAAATCGGATAATAGGACGCAAAAATTTCTCCAGATAGAAGAAACAGGTTTGTGTTTTATGTACCAGATACCAAATCTTTACTGGTATTTGCGTGGAAATTGAAATGTCCAACAAAGTTACGACACTTTTTTTTGGCAGATCATATGGGGTATCTTACCCGTAACTAAAAAACTGCAAACTTATGGGAAATAATGTGATACTCCGTGCCGTAAATATAGAGCGGATGTATATCAGTTAATTATGTAATCTTTGAATGCTCACCATAACTCTAGACATGGATTATGTCTCAAATACCTTCAAATCAGAGATTTTTTCCAACATCATCGGTCTATATCAATATGGATTATTTATTTTGGAGATTACCAAAAGAATATGAATTCAATTACTTTCTTTGGATTATGTGATATAAATGGAAGAATAGGAATGTTAAGATTTATACAAAAAAACTGAAACCCGTAGGAAATTATACATATATATAGCTTTATGGGATGATGCTCAACTTATAGAAGTCAAAGTTTAAGAGGATTTCACTCTTACTTACTTGAGTCTTCCATTGGGAAGCACCAGATGGTGTTATACTGATGGAGTTTGGAGAGAACAAGATGTTTTTACTAGTCAATGATTGTTTTGTACCACATGCTGATATAATCATATGATCAGGGCAATGAACATCCAAGAAGCCTATCATCTTTACATGTAGAAAGTGAGGCTCTGATTTGAGTTATGGAGTGCATATAGACCCTGCAGATCAAGGAGGTGGTTTTCGCAGCAGATTGTTCTCAGTTGCTGAAGATGATATTGTCACCAGAAGAATGGTCAGTTTTTACACTCATATGGACAAATTTTTATGATGTAAGAAATCCTTACCTAGATTATTGATCTGCCATATACCAACAACACAAAATATAATGGCAGACAAGATTGCACGTGGTACTTGGTAATTTTCTTATTTGCTATATGTCATTTACTAACTCTGATTTGGTTATCTGAATCGGTGGTTGCTACTACATAGATTTTAGTTATTGATGTGAAAAAAATATAATCTTAATTGAGATATGATTCATTCAAAATAAAGGATATTCAAATTAAAGAATTCACACTTTAATGTCAGGACATATAACTTGTTTCATATGTCTTTATATATTTTTATTTATATTGTATTGCATTATATTGTATTGTATCACATCATGTTCTGTGAAATTGACTTATCCGAGAAAAATAACTTGAATTATACACATGTAGCAATTGATTCACCGT